AACGATAACGATAACGATAACGATAACGATAACGATAACGATAACGATAACGATAACGATAACGATAACGATAACGTACTTGCATATCATTGTCGTGCGTTCGGGATTTCGTTCATTCGGGATGCTTCCGTGATTTCGTGCTTTTAGTATACCGTGCATTCGGTATGCCGTGCTTTCGGGATTTCGTTTGTCGGGCTATGGGTTATCGGGATGTTAAACTTCACCGATTCCAATTAAGAATTGAATTGAAAAAATAATTGATGTTAAGATATTTAAAAATATTCTCCATACATAATTCACGAATGAGGATTGGTCGTGATTTTCACACTGTAATATAGGTTTTCTCAATTACACAACTTACTTAATGTTAAAGAAAATTCTATGCATTGTTCGTATTAATGCTACATATCGATATATTCGTTAATGTTAATATTGCCTGTTAAAAGAATCATTTGTAGCCGGACTACTGTAAAAGCACTCCATCGTATAAAAATACACGGTGGCATGTTTATCTGCATGGCATGTTTCTTTGCAATTACATGTAGTAATGTTAGTATTTTTTATCGATAGGCCAGCACACAACCATTGATTATCATGCGACAGTCTTTCGAATCACATATCATTGGCTTATCTCTGCCTTTGTTCCCATGCAATTGTTTCGTAAGTTTAGTATCTATTGGTACATACATGTGGCACGAATCGTAAATTCAGATAAACAACTTTATTGTTATCTTTGTTGATAATGATAACGATCATATACATGAACATGTATTATGTATAACCGTCCAATCAGTTTATAACGATAAATATTTAATATCGATATAATCAATTAAATTCGTTAACTTCAATTGTTCTCTACAACTTCTGCTCCTTGATAAATGTCCCAACAAGATTCGGTTAAGGCTCGTGTCGTTTTTGTCACATGTCCAGAGACCGTGGCAAAAAAATTATCTAAAGGTTTGTCTTCATATTTCCCAGTTTAATTAATCTGTTTTATAATAAATAAAAAGCCTAGTTGAGGAAAACTTTCTGCTTCTGTCAATATTGTCTATGGAATAACTTCGTTTTATTGTATGTTATCAAATATTTGACAGGAATTCCTTCTTACGATAAGACAAATATGTTCGGGAACTTGCAGATTATCTTAATAAGAATCATGGACATGAAGTTCCTGGAGTCATTTCAATTAAGGTAAGAGCATCCTGGAATTCTGTATTTACAACCTTGACTTAATTTAAAAAATACTCAATATAACACACTGATGAACAAACAGATTGATAAAGTAAGTACGAAATATCTTATTGGATTAAAGAAAGTGTAAAGGCTTAATCCCGATCCTGAATCATTTATAAAAAGTTGTTTGCGGCGTTATTAATTATCCGTAATTAATTAATTATTCGTTATTAATTAATTATTCGTTATTAATTATAATTATTCATTATTAATTAATTATTCGTTATTAATATGATGTAATTTTAAAATAAATGATATCGACGACGATGTATATATTTGAGCTGTATTTAAAGATATACGGTAAAGCGTTGCGTTGCATAAAGTGCCTCCCTTCTTTACGTTTATAGAAAATTTGATTTATTTCAACTATTTTAGTCAACCATTTATTTTCTGTAAAATGATTAAAACGAGAAGGGTAGGTATGTTGACTAGTAATAATAGCGATAGTATCTCGTAAAATATTCCATTTTGATGTTAGTGGGAACTTTATCACATTCAGTAACTAAATATAATGTATACGTTCTGTATGCTGGATCTTCAAGACGCTCCACATTTATTATGCTAAGTCAGTATCACACTCCCGCAAATTTTAAAAAAATTTGTTGCACTCCGGATTATTTACCATTTTAGGATTTAATGTACATGTATAACGATAATAATTCCGTGCATAACGATAATCAGAAAAATGTTGATCCTAACGCTAACGCTAATAAACGCCAAATCTGAAACGTAGAACTTTTAATAAAAACGCGAGAAAATATACAGTATTTTTCTTTTTTTTTTGAGAAAATCTTTAATAATGGGATTTATAATTGAAACCTATCTTTTATTGTTTTCTTTATTTACTTTAATCTATTATTGGCAAAATAAGCCAAAAGGCAGTTCTATTGAGCTTCCGGGTCCAACTCCGTTACCAATTATTGGAAATATACATCAACTTGGAGTTGGACGATCAATGCACCAGAATTTCACAAAAATGTCTAAATCTTTTGGACCGATTTTTAAAGTGCGTTTGGGACAAATTACTTGGATTATTATCAATGACCATATGATAGCAAAAGATTTATTTATCTCGCGTGGTAGTACTTTTTCTTCGCGCCCGGTATATTATACTATCATTATTAGTTAGTTTAGTTATTTAAGAAAAAGCAAATATTAATTAACACCGTAAAATATTTTTAAGGAATTTGGTCTATTCACTGATATTATTTTACATGGTAGTAAAAGTGTGGCTTTTTGTCCGGTAGTTTTGATTTCTTTTTTGATTACTAATAATCCGGTCTAAGAAACTTATTAAAGTTCATTTCAGAATTACAGCTGGTGGAAAACAATGAGATTACTTGAGTCGCAAGCAATTCGTCCTCATCTAGTCGAAAATGTGTATTTCCCAGTAATATGTGATAACGTGAAACGTTTTATACAGCAATTATATTTGAAGTCTCTAGGCGATAATATTTCTCAAAATCCTACTGCTGATATTAAGCTTCTTATTACTAAAATTCTAGCGACGATTGTATTTGGTGATTTAGCAAAGGATTCGACTGTTCTAGAACGTTATTCACATTTATCAAAAGAGATTATTGAATTTACAGATATCAAAAGCAATCTATTGTCAGTGTTTGGTTGGCTGAAATATTTTGGTATTCGAAAATTCTTAGAACGAGAAGCACGACAACTAACCGCAAAAAGGGACGAATTCTCTAATGGTTTATTACAGCAGGTCAAGAATCGAATGATTGAAAACGGGCCAGATTCCGAAACTTGTGTTTCCGCCGAACTTTTGAAATCGGTTATAATCGACCCATCATTTGTCGCCTCTCCACATACACATGAATTCAAAAAAGATGAGAATGGAAAATATATATTTGACAATTATGATGTGCTACAGATTTGTAATGATTTAATGATTGGAGGAACTTCCACAACAAGTGGTTCTTTATATTGGATTTTCGCTACTTTGGCCAATTATCCTAAAGTGCAACGCAAAATTCAACAAGAATTAGATAGAATAGTTGGTAAAGGAAAGTTTTATGTTATGGATCATCATGCAGATTTGCATTATTTGAAAGCTACTATAAAAGAAAGTTTACGATTTAGGTATGTATTTATTTTTTTCGAAAGTTGATATAATGGAACCAGTCACAAGTGTCTGTCCGTCGATTACCGGACAATATGGCAGAAACGGAAGGGATCGTTATATTGACTTTCACTGTGTAGATTGGAGTATTAACAAGAATTTCAATTAATAGGACAGCTGTAAATTTAAGCATACCTCATTGCAGCTCTCGGGATGAAACCTATAAAGGATATCATATTCCCGCAAATGCTGGAATATTAATCAATTTCAATGCGATTCACTCTGACCCTCTACTTTATGATGAACCACTTGAATTTCATCCTGAGAGATATTTGGATGATAATGGACTTTTAAAGCAATATGACGAGATCCGCGATCCATGGG